GCCATTCGCGATGCTTTAAAGGCAACCGTTGACTTTGGCATACAGCAGCTTAGGTCAAGTGCGATAAGACCACGCCTAAATCCCTGGGTGGATGAATTCCTTAATTATAGCCATCATCTAACAGAGGTAACTACTAAAGCCTATGCCCTTATATTTTTACTAATTATTTGAGGAACTGTCCATATAGGAGGAACTGTCCGCTTACGAGGCTGGGGAAACATTTGTTCAGTATTTCATTGTACAATTAGATGGACTATTAAATTCATTTAAAAATGCATTAAGTCCACGTAATTATGACGCGCTCGTCAGTATTTTGGCTACTGAAGTGACCAACCGCTTGGAACGCGCAATCAAGAAAAGCACATTTAATCGGGTAATTTTGGGTGATACTATGTTTGGATGATATTATTAATCGTTTTAATTTGTAGCTTGGTGGACTTGTTCTCGACCAGGAAGTGCGAGCCCTAGGTACATATCTTACGGGCGCAACTTCCTGGTCAGTGCGCGATAAAATGACGCGTCTGTCACAAATCGCAACGCTTTTGAATTTGGATAAGGTTTCAGAGTTGGCTGAATATTGGAATCCTGAAAATAATAGCGACATGCCATCTTGGCGGCTGACACCAAATGAAGTGCGCACTATTCTGACTTTAAGGTAAAGTGAAATATTTCAAGACATTCACATTACAGATATTTTATTTCTGTTTACTTTATAGAAGTGATTTCCGTATGGAGGACATTAAACGTTTGCAACTTTAAGTTAAAAGCGTTTCTTGATTTATTTATAGTGCTGCGACTTCATGTCTTTTTAAACTAAACCAACGATTGAAATCCAATCTTAATAAGAGCTGCGAAAGTGCACCAAAACTGGATGCGCTCTTAATGTTAACCAATAATTTTATTAATCCAGAGATGGCAACGTTAAATCTACAATATAAAGAAAAAAATATATAAATAAGTACATTAACGCTTAATATTGCTCCACTTACCTATCCTCGAGCCTGTCGACATCATCTAAATTGTTTTCATTCACTACACTAAATTTCTCACATAAACTAAATATTTCGAGGATGGTTCCATAAACCGGATATTGGGAATGACGCGCTGGCTGTGAAGTATTTATCTTTTTATCCGTTTCATCTGTCAGCAGAAAGCATTGTGAAAGTACATTAGCAAGAAATACTGAATGAGCTCTTTGAATTTCTTCAAAATCGGCTTTACTGGCAATCACATTCATGAGCATACTGAACTGGCCTATAATTTTAATGTAATAATTGAATCAATAGAAATAGGTATATATGGATTGTTATTAGTCTTACATTCGAGTACATCAACCTGTATGTAATACTGTAAGTTGTCCAAAAAAAACATTAAATGATTCCGTAAACTAATAATCTTGATATCGACTGGATTCCCAGTTTTGGATGTCCATTTGTGACGAGCCCAAACAAGTTGAAGATCGTACTGTATTTTTCGAACAGTTAATAGAAAACGAAAAACGGTATTGTAACGTTCTATCGTCGTTGGTGAAAACAAAAGGTTCAATGGCCATTTATATATGTATTTCAGATGAAGATTTTGAAACAATGCAAATTCACAACTCTCGTCTAAATCGATGGTTGTTTTCTGAACACTCAATGAAAAGTTCTCCAAATCATCAGCAGTTGCCATTACGTTTGCTGCAATCTATACAAAATAATAATTGTTTTACATATATTTACATTAATTGAAAATAATAAAATTTAGATATTCCTACCTCAAAAGCTTTGGTGTAGTTTTTGTTATTTAGTTCTGCAAAATTTTCTGAGCTTTCATATAATTGACGAAAGAATTCCAAATAAAATTCGCCTCGTCCCAACAGGTAAAAGTCTTTGATGAGACACAATTGACGCTCCAAATCATCTTCAATCACTGCTATTTCCGACAAACGCTGGCTAACGTATTTTTTGATTTGGTTAATAGCTCTTTCCAATTCAAATACATCGATCTTATCATCCTGATTTAGGTCTTCAATCAGATTACAAAACATTCCCTCCTTACCATTCCAAAGCTCACCGATATCATCACAGAATGGTGCTTGCGATTTCGATATCCAAGAATCAGTTTTAATCTTGCGTCGATCTAATTTAAAAACGAGTACCGTCTGTCCGACGAATAATATTTTTTCAGCTAAAACGGCTGACACAAAGCTTGGTAACTGACTAAATCTGATCTCATATTGCCATATCTCCTCCTCGCTCAATATGCTCTGCAAAGTACATTTTCCAAATATTATCAAAGATCTTATTCTAAATGGTTATCTTCTTACCGGCGGACTATTAGTGCTTGTGTAAGATTTATCACAGGAACTCTTTGCAACGCCTTCGTTTGGTCTATAGTTAATAAAGAACTCGGCGTATTCATCATCAATAATGCCAAACAAGAGCCAGTGCGTCAGGTGTGACAAGAAAGCCAATTTTACGGGCCTCGAAACTCTAAAAAATAGTCATTAACTAATTTATTACAGTGTAGTTTCTTAAAACTTACTTGTTGATTATTTTTTTCAGACGAATATCTCCGTGATCATAAGAGACATGCAGATTTTCTAGCAGCTGACAGCCATTTAGTTTCTGAATTAATAAACATTTAGTGTATTCTATTCGCATAAGGCTTACCATTAACTACATACCTGTATTCTGGCATCGTTAATTAGTTTACGCAAAAAAATTATAATTGGTAGATGTTGTTCCAGAGAGTTGTAAATATAATTTAAAGAATGTGTTGTGTTTTGTTCGGTTATAGTTTCCAGTTCTGCTGTTTCTTTATAATAATCATCGAGAGCTCTTTCGATGCCCTGGGCGAAATTCCTTAGGTAATAACCCGTTGAGTATTCTAAATAAAATAAGATATATTAAATCAAACCGTAAATAAAGTAAGCGCTTTTCTTTACCATGCGCATCCGAGAAGTCCGAAATGTCGCGTTGACTGACGCCTCCAAAGAACTTTGCGAATCGTACAATTTCACTTAGGCTGCTTAAGATATCAATAATTTTCTCAAAAATGGCTCTCTCACAAGGATGCATGAATTCCTCAACAACATTTGTTGTCTAAAAATTAAATGGTTTATGAAAATAAACATATGCAATTTTTAAATTGTCGCACTCACAAGAAAACTTTTAATGCCAATTCCCTTTCGGCTCAAGCTCATGCAGGATAGTAAAATATCATGAATCATGTTAAATTCTTTGTATATAACGAACAGAAATTTGTTTTATATTATTAAAACTCCCGGTGTTATTTGGTATTGGTTTATTTTGCCTTTTGTGTGAATGACAATTATGAAAAGAATGTATGCGGGTCATCGATACAGCCAACTATCGATTGCTCATAAACAAGAGATGCTATCGATTACATTACACAGAATGCAGCTGTTGCTTTTTAAATTTGTTGGCTTAAGTAAAATAAATATAATTAGTAAATATTATAATTTTTTTAATGAATGCACTATATTTTATAGGGAGCGTATAACCAACAAATTTTGTAGAATTATATATATGTGTTATTTTTTATAAACCAAAATACAATTTTATTATATATGGCATATTCAACGTTTGCTGGCCTTCAATTAAGTAAATAATAAATTAATTGTGCCTGAGCATAAGTTTATTTGATTACATTTTAGGGTACAGAAGGCATATGCACAAAAATTTGGTACACCTCGTCTTATCCCTATACATGTGCATATAAATTATCCTTTCTGCTTTTATAGTTGTCAAATTTTATTGTCTTTCGTTGCGACACCCTGGCCATAGAGGCGCAATAAATAATGTTCAAGTGTCGTCCAGCAGCTAGATAAGCTGCCCAAAAATGTTAACAAATATGTCTTTTATGGAGTGCTTTTATTTTGCACCTTTGTTGTCCACGTTGAAGCTCAAGCTATGCCAAAGGACAAAACCAAACACCTCACTAACGTTTTCTCTGCGCCAAGTCTGTTGGCTGTTAGCAAAATCGCTGACATAGGAAATTTGTGGTAAAAAGAGAACAAGAGGCCGTCTCTATGGAATATGCATAAATATTCTTGTTGGTTTTATATGAACTTAATTAAATTCTTCGTTGCATATGTGAAGCATATACAAAATATATATAACTTAAATGAAATGTATTAAATAAATTGATAAATTTACCATTTACATTGAATTTTGACCGCATAAGGAATTGACCCCCAACCGAATAGATATAGACTCAGCCACAAAGAAACTTATTTAATTTCGAGCTCAGCCACACTATGTGTACTTTTTATTTTATTTTAATTACACTTTTGCTAAATAATTCAGGAACTTCAGCGAGCCCGTAAGTGCATTAGACTGCTCTCGCCGCTTCTGCCCGTAACTATTTGGACCCCTTTGGCTTATTTGCAATTAGGATGGGAGTTTTGCTGCAGACCAGCTGAATTTCGAATTTATTGCATTTTATTTAGTAACATGCATTTTTAATTTTACTGCCACGTTAATTAACTTTAATTTTGTTACTGCTGCAGCCATGGACGAGACCCCAATGCAAGTTCTTATACCAATAAAGTTTTCACTGCTCGTAGAGTTTTCTAAAATGCAAAATGCAAAATGAAAATGCGCAACTCTGGACTTGGCCCCACGTTAAATGCGGGCGTAGAAAGTTATATTTCGCATGTGCATTATTTCTCGAGTTGATTAAGTTCTCAAACGAGCTAACCCTTTGCATTTTATGAAAAAACTTTCGAAAGAGAGTTAAACCCTTTATAGTCAATCTATTTAATTTAAAGAGTTTTTATTAAGCAATTTATATTGCTGAATAAAAATAATTCAAAATAATAAATTTTAGATAATATATTCTGATTAATAATATAATAATAATATTTACCTGATTGTTTGAAAAATATATATAAAAGGACCACGTCGAGTTGATTCAGGAAAATCCAGTTAAATTTGACAATGTATATATATACATGAGATCAAAAATTTTAATAGTTAAAAAGAAACACAATATTTAAGCATTTTTCTAAGAAACATTTGTAAAATTTATTGATAATAATAATCGTATGTATAAGTGTTGCACTTATAAGTATAATGTACTTTATATAAAATTATCTATTTCAATTTCTTTATATATTTATTTAATGTTTTGTTCATTCACTGTCGTCTTCAATAGGCAAATGTATACTGAAGTGCGGCACGAGTTTGATTCGTATTTGTTATACTTGTTTGTTTTTGTTTCTGTTCTTAACATTATGGGTCCTTAGGCTCTTAAGTGACTGGAACCTGCTGTTAACGAATCTCCACTCTTCTTTTGGGATCCTCCTCAGTAATGCATATACTTATGTCTCAATATAGCTAAGTGTGAGTGTTAAGAAAACTTGAAATAGTATTGCATGTCTTTTCAGCTCTTATGTGTATACATAGTTTGATTAGTTTGAATTTGTTGTTGTTGATTTGTTTAAATTTTGGTTGATATAGAGTATACATCTAATTTTCTAATACCAATAAAATTGACTATGAGGATAACATCTAAAGCAATTAAGGGATTACGTGCCATTGCATCTATGTATATGTATATATGTGTATATATGAATATAGGTTTGTGTGTATACCAATTTGAAAGGCACATTATGATCTTAAATATGATATTAAGTATATCTGCGAACTGTTTACATATATGTATATGTGTATATTTGGTCAGTTTGGTTCATCAAAGATTGGTCATTGTTTATTGCACTGTTTTTGTTTGGTTCTTCATTTCAATCGTCTTGTGTTGTTTGGTGATATTTGAGAACTAAGGCATATTATAAATAGAACTACGTGAACGACCGACTTAAAGAATCCATTTAATTTACAGCTTTCTCAGAGTTGAGCTCGCAGTCATCCCAGTCGGTCAGCGCCCAGCTCGGCAGTTCAGTTTCGTACTCCCAGCCGGGACCCTAAATCGAAAATCATTTTCTGTAGCTTCGGGATCTGATTATTAAGCTCTACCCACACATACCTTATACTTCCAGGCATGCAAATACATGACCAGATCCTTAGGCTTGGGGTCTCGATAGTGCACCTTGCATTCATAGCAATGCTTGTCAATGACCACTTTATCGGAGGCCACGGCCTGATCCGTGGGGACTTCATTCGGGACCGAAGGCTCGGTGGCTGCATCTGCCTTAGCCGGGAGCACTGGACTGCTATTTGTTGAGTGCAGCTGCTTGAGGGCCTCTGCGCTTTGCTGATTCTCCGAGCATGGCGGCGTAGTCTCTCTTGAATTGACGCCCACGTCATCATCGCTGTGATGCACGGCTGAGGAATTGAATATTCATATTGAAATACTCCTAGTAGGTAAATATTTGCTGTTATCTTACCAAACGTTTGATCGCTGCTCAGGCTTTCCAGATCCGTCTCATCCTTAGTATTCTTAAACAATGATATGTCCGAGTCGCAGTCGATGCCCAGCCAATTTTCCGCATTGTGTATATTAATGAGATCCCGTATGAGTTCGTCGTCCGTCTTGCCCCCAATGTCTCCAGCGCGGCCTTTGAGAGGCCCGAACACCTCATGGTTGTACAAGGGATCATTAAGTATAGGAAAGCCTTTGAGAGTAGAAGAATTAATTTCTATAGAATATACTTATATATCCTTCTGAATTCTATACCTAAATATTGCAGGTGAACACGAATTTGGTGCATTCGTCCTGTGAGTGGCTTGCAGAGCACTACGCTGGTTTTTCCATTCTGGGATAGCTTTTGGAAGGTTGTGGTACAATCTTTGCCCTTCTGTGACACCTTACATACGCCTATCTTGTAGCTGACCACCTCGATGGGCTCCTTGCATTCCACGACACCGCTGATAAATGGAATTGAAATTTCCTAATCCAACTACCATGATCTGGGCATAGATGTGTACTCACTCTGGAAAAATGCCCTCCACTCGACAGATGTATTCCTTCTCCACTTGTCTGTTGCGTATCTGCTGCTCCATTTGGCGCGCCTTCTTCGGACTGCGGCCGAACAAGAGCAGGCCCGACGTAAGCCGATCCAGCCGATGAATTGTGCGTAGGTTCTTCAAATTGAATTCCTTGGCTAGTATAAAGACTACAGTATTATGCCTGTACCGCCCACATGGATGCACCTATTCAGAATATTCGTGAGTTAGTATAACGTCAACTAGTCAATTTCCTTAAATGGTTTGTTAGTTGTAAATTTGATGACGGATCTAGCTTAATTTATTGTTATCTAGATTTATAGATTCATAGAAACGCATAATCGATTGTAATATGGCAGTCGTTTAAGCCACTTACTGGTATAGAGGCTGGCTTATTAACAACCACAATGTCCTCATCCATATGCACTATTGTGATTGGTTGGCAAGTGACGGGTACTTCGTGTCTGCAAAGATATATTCATGAGTGCGCACATTTAGTTAGATATATGTAACCATTCAGTGCTTTCAATGCAACTACTGTTCACGTCCTCATAAATTAAGTCGTATAAATGAGAAACAAACAAGGCTAGATCTGCCATATGGGGTAACTCAACTAGTTGATATTCTATAGCCATAGATGTAAAAAAAACACAAATTAATTACAAGTCTTTATATATTATTTATAGTTAAATGAGGCGCCAACAAATTGTGATAAAATTGATTAACCATGAATTTGACTATATATTTTTTTATTACAGATGTGTAAATTCCATTACCAAGGAATACGACTATACCTTTCTAAATATTGAATGGCTATAAGTTCTGTTGGTTTTAAAAAGAGTATGACTTTAGGCAAGTAAATCCAAGAGATCAAGAGTCGAAGTGCTCTTTCTTATGGTTTTTAAACTACGAAATCGAATTTAAAACGGGAATTGTCATTGTTCCTTTGGGCTTACAGGTATGCAAATAATGTATATTGTTTAATTGAATATTTATACGTGTTAGATCTGGTTTTCCAAAAGTTACATTATCAGAAAAAATGTAGTCTTTTAAATAATATTGTCTATAGATTTTGTGGTAAACAATCAACTATATCATATATATCATATAAATGAGAATTTGAAAAGTGCAGATCAACTGCTCTGCGAAGTTTCTCTGATTCTTGTATGCCCTTTAAATAAGTAATCTATTAGAAACCTTTGGAAAATTTGACAAATTTTTGGGATAGGCTTTTATAATTATATGAAATAAAGACTTTTTGTATTTATTAATTTAATTTTTTTTGTTTTTGTTTTTTGTTTTTATATGCACAGCAATTGCCTTTTATGACATTAGGGGAATATAGGGCAGACAAAATTAGGTTATTGGTGGAAAGGTGGTAAATTTTGGAACATATTTAGTGTAGTGAGTCATAGCCCAGGAGAGAAGGTCTAACGGATGTAATCACTTCAGTCGTGGTACGTGGGTGGACAGTTAAGTAATTTTGATGAGACTCTAGCCTATTTGGGTGTCTAGTGCTACGTTATGAGATGTATTCAATATGAATAAGTAGCGTAATAAATTTAGATTGACATGAAATGCTTATGTTGGTAACTAAATTTCATCAAATTTGTTGTACAAACTATGTTTAATATATTTTATTACTGACGCTAATGCGTGTCTTTCTATGCACATTAATTCTACAGGGTATATTGTTCAACGGCCTATAAGGATATTTAGTTTTCATCAGGTATTATTTTTCTGTTTCTTTTAAGAAAATAAACATAGTTGTCCATAAGCATTGGGAAATCGGTAAACAGATTTGGCTCGATCAAGTTTTGTATCTGTACTGCATTTGCTGCCACCATTTTATGTGCACTGCATAGTTGGGCAAATGGTTGGCTAAATACGTATATATACATATATATAATACAAATTGAGAATGCTGCGTCGATAGAGTAAGTAATTTATACGATGGTCAACATCAAATATGCTCTGTTGTAGTAGTTGTTGTTGTTGTTTTTAGAAGCAAGTCGATTAAGTAAAGAAAACTTCACAAGATAGATGACAATGAAGTTATTTGATTATTCGGCATTGCCTATGCTCATATTTAGACAACACTTTACAGAGGCGAGTGATGTTCAATGGATATTCAATCATTGGCTTACCTGTGCACAATGTTGGCCAATAGATCATTGTGTTTCAGCCGGTAGTCAATGGGCACCTTCTCGAAGTTAACGGTCAGGGTGCCGGTCTGTATGCAGCGCTCATATTCCTCAGCTGGATGTGCGCGAAACTCCTTGGAGAATATATCCAATATCTTTTCGCCCACCCAGCGGCCCTTCGTAAAGGTCGTGAAGGTGAAGTAATATGGATACACCTTGCGTAGACCTATGACCAGACACAAATCTTGATTGGGCTCTTGCACTCGTTTTTTGTTTACCCACCATTTTCGATATAGTATGAGGTTTCCTGGTATCTTTCATCAGTGAATCCAGGTCTTTTGGCCTTCAAGGCCTTTGTCTCCAACTTTGCCTTTAATTATATAGTTGTGCATGAGCTGTAATTCCCAAACAACTTTCGCGCTTGCTTACCTTTTTCAAATCTTTAATTTGTTCCGTGTCCTCGGTTTTTCGCTTCTCGGGTATTTTTACCTTTTGCTTTTCCAGCTCGCTAACGTTTGTCAGCTAAAAGTAGAAGGCAAAAAAAAAAAAAAAAGACTTTGTTGATTAGCTTGCGTTAGTCAATTTGTAAATTAACTATAAATAGTTGGAATGAGCTCACTGGGATTAGGAGAACTCAGGCGCACCCTAAATTTGCGTATGGTTTTGGCCTAAACAGAAATATGACTTCTAATGCAGGCAAGATCAAGTGTTTGGCCAGATTTCATTTGAAGATTCATTTGACGTAGGAATTTCAACTCAGCAACGCGTCTTTCCTACCCATCACAACCCATCACGAATTGTATTTGTTTCTAAATTTACATTTTTGGTGTCTGGCATTTTGTGTGTGTTTTATCTGACCATAATTTGATCGAAGCATATGACTGCAATGTGAATGCTCAAGTGGTCTGCCGAGCACTAATTCCACTTTGCTACGACACGAATTATTTACCACGAAATATACGGGCATAAAGCTATTCTATTCCACAATGCACATGCACATGCATATGAATACGCATATGGACAGAGAGTGCAAGTATACTATATGCTATTTGGAATAGATACTTGCATTTCAGTTAGTTCTTGTGTCTCTTTCGTCGACTCCGATGAGTGACTGTCTGGTTGGTTGGCTGGCTAGCTGGCTGGCTGGCTGCCTGTCCTTTGTCTTTTGTCTGTGCTTTCATTGGCAGGGCGCCCAACAAATGATACAAACTAGCAGCATGCCCAAAACGAGAAGAGTCGAGCACGACGATTACAGTCGAGCTTAAGCGACTGCATAATACTCGATCAAAAATATTAATACAATAGTAAGACAGTTTATTTGAAACTCATTCAGATATATCTAATTTTGTTTTGCTAGTCGATCGTTGACAGTTATTGTAGCTCTTAAGTTTTTAAAGCAATCTATGGAGGAGGCTAATAGTAACCCAAAGTAACTTAAAGTAAATAGTAGACATAAATCTAAACCTTTGCTATTTCTAATATAGTTCCTAATTTTTGAAGATACAAACTGCGCTTTCTCTTTTAGCGAATTCAATCAAATGTATTTATTAAAAAATACCATCTCATAATTTTCTTTCTTATACTTTACACTAAATAGTTCTTCATCGACGTTTGTCAAAAAGTGGTTTTTAAAAACATTACGGAATGAAATCCAGTTAAATAAAATTATAAATTCAATGTTATGTAGTACTATGTATTTGTATTCATACGGATAGAAAAGACTATTCAACAAATCCAAATAAACTCTTTTTTTTTTACCAGGTGACCCAGTATGAAAAATCAAAATAAAACTATGCGGGAGGGCAGCGGACTGCGGTAGCTGTAGGGAGACCAGACTCTGACTCTGATTCTGACACCGACGGCCTGTCGGTCAATTTCCCTTAAGCAGCATCTTTACGCGAGTTGAAGATGCCGTCTCCACATGTGCAGAGCGTGTAACAAATGCACAATATCCATCCCAGCAGCCCCATAGACAAAAGATTCACTCGAAAATCTCTTGGATTTTGGGCAGCTTAGTTTAAATTTAGATGTGACTTCATATTGTATTAAACTGAGACCAAAGAAAACGCTCTAGTTAGGCATACAATTTGAAACTATTCTAATTAATAGAACACGCTATTATTATGTTTCCTAATAATCAATAATCATTTATGTTCGTATAGAATATAATGAGTAGAATATGAATGAAATGTTTGAACTCTGCCCACTCACACACACACAGCCTCTGGTGAGGTTGTGTATATTGTAGCGCTCTACTCATCCATGAGATGATGTTCATATAGAAAGACTTTATAAATTAATTGAATCATTCAACGGCAGAGACCTGTTGCCAGAGATCTTGGCAAGCGACCATTCACATGTGCTTACGCACATATATATTCGCATATATGTGTATATATGTATACATATGTATATGTATGATTTTCTGCATGTACATTGGATGCTCCTGGGCTCGGTAGACGATTCCTATATTGTTCCAAGCGAACGCACGACGCGACGCGACGCGGCCAGCAGTCACAGCTAATATTTATGAATACACCCACTGTGAAACGGAGATAGAGCAACACGTATATGCGTATATATAACACTATGTAGTATTGTATAAATATATATGTATGTGTATACATTCGCAGGCGACACAATCTTTCTACACTTGATTGCGCAAGGCGCTAAAAACGGGCGTGTGGCTAAAGCAAAATGCGTGTGCGGCAGCTGGAAGCGAAGAAAAAACATAACAGTGAAATGGAAAAAGAAAACAAAATATATGGACACACGTGACCACGTGCTGATTTTAATTATCAACTTTTCAAGAGCATTGCGTGGTCCATGCTAATGTGGAAATAGATGGCTAAACATTTTCAGCTAAACGTCAGCTACTGCCGGAGATCGTCTCCCAGAACCGGATTATGTGGAATCCTGCTATTAATTAGAGCGCTTATTATGTCCACACAGACTTCTACTCGAGTGCATTGGCTCTCCAGCTGCTTAGCTAACCATATCTGATTGACAACATCCAGTTGCTATAAAAGCAAAGTTGCGTTAATACTGTGAATTCTAGTTCTGCACTGCAACAAAAAATCTGGCTAAAACAATCAGGCTGCATTGGATGAGACCTCATTTAGCGACTTCTTTGATGGTTCAGCCTGAGAATTGTCTTTAATTTAATGCAATGGCAAACCCTAATAATTGTACTTATTTGTGTCGACTCATCGTTCAGAATTGTACTTTAATTATTTTTGTAAATCTGTCGTGCAATAAGGCTGCTTATATAAATATTTATTGCGTATTTCATTTTATAGTTAATTTCCGAACATAATTGTTTTTATGACAACGGAAGAGATTTACAAATAATAGTCGACAGCTGCCAGTGATGGATAGCCAGACTGATAGTACCTTGATGTACACTAGATGTTCTTGTATATATGCATGTATGTATGTATTCTATATCTGTGTCATTTTCTTACATGCAAATGCTTTTGCCTCTCAAATTCGATGTATTACTGAACATGTTCGGTTTATTTTTCGGTTTTCTTGAAATGTTCAGCACATTAGAACGAAAGCAATATTTGTCAGAATTCTAATTTTGTATTAATAACAAGTAACAGTATTTCTGAATGAAAAATTGTTATTTTTGTAGTTAGTTGATGAGTCTGACGCAAATTAAACTCGAAATATTTTAAGACATTGTTTTCTTCTATTGTTTTTTTTTTTACTTTTTTTTTTCTTATTTGAGAAATCCCCAATCGGGCTGGAAATGTAAATTGTTTCGAATCTAAACCAGAAATTCGTTAAAAATACTTAATATTACAATGAACAAATAATTACATGCAGAATTGAAGAATTATTGATAATAAAACAGACTTGATCTGCCCATTCCATAGACTTCCAAGTCTATATATACACATGGCTATATCGAATCGCTTGATCGAAGTTCCACTACCTCGTCTGCTCGATACATTCAATGCAGGAATAGCATGATGCTCTGTTTTCTGATTTTTAATAAAAACAACAGAGCCAAAATCAACTTAAAATCTTTAATATTTGCTTCAATCAATAGTTACAAATTGAGTTTATTTGTTTTCTTTAGCGTGCGGAAAAATAGGAAGCCATGTTTACAAAACATTTAATGTTTATCTGCATGCATACAATAATTACTCATAAATTGCAAAAACTACATCCATCATTCCATATCAGTTGTTCTAGGGAGAGATAATCAAATTGATATAAATGATCAAAAATCGAATTTTTATTACCTCAACACATTGAAAATGCCTTACAGCAACACCAAAATAAAATTCTATTGAATTCAAAATAAAACTTTGAATGTATTATGGAGAGTGTGATTGAAATGAGTAAGTGTAACCCTTAAAGAGGTTTTGATGTTAGTTTATGAGCAGAAATGGTTAATAATTGTTAATAAGAAACAAATGTGATTCTGCACATTTCATTTGATAGATAATCTCAGCAATAAATTTCACTTTTTGTCCTAATTTTGACACGTAGAATAATAATAAAACTGAATAAAAAACTAAAAATAAATTTTAGTGTGGATAAAGATCGTTGCCAAATATATAGTCAAACATATTTTAAAATATGTGAAATTAAATTTTTAATTGCAAAAAAAAATTTAGTTTTCACTAGTGGAACACTAAAATATATATAGACTTGTATATAGGAAGTAGCTTGAAGTGGGGCTCTCACTAACAACTTACTTGATTTTTTATCAGTATACTCTGTATACTCTACGGAAACTAGACTTAGTAGCCGTCTTTTTTCCAGTTCCAAATGTAGAAAATGTAATAGAGATATGTAGAAATATTTGAAGGCCTCTCAGTTTGTAACTGCAGCTCTATTCCAACTTATGACATTACCAACATTTTCTTTTCTCTTCAATTTCAATGGCTAACAGAGTCGGCAATGAAAGCGTAGTACCCGGCTGCAAGGAGAGTATGACAGACAGCTTGTCGTTCGGCTGCTTAGAGCGCTCTGCGACTCAACTTGTTTTCAAGGGCCAGTCGTAAGCAAATATATCTCTCGGCTAAGCTGAACATGCGTATTATGAATATATGTATATATATTTTTGTTTTGTAAAGAAGACAAACACAAGCGGCCGAAGAGGGGAGCTGAGAGCGGAGAGCGGAGAGCGGAGAGAGGAAGGCGGGCTGTCTACTTTATGGGCTATTTGGGAAACCTTGACCAACTCGTAGAAACCTATGCAATTCAAAAGACTGTGGAAATCGTTGTGGAACATGAAAAACACCAACACCAACAGCAGCAGCAGCAACGGCAGTGGCAGCATGCGTACCGATGCGGAAAATCTGAAAGGTCTTTATTATTATGGCAATAGCCGAGCAAAGCAATCGCACAAGGAGATTGCGGATTGTCGGTTTTCAAAAATAGTATTAGTATAGTATTTATTTATTTATTAAACAGAAAACGCATAATTACTTTTGTTTTTTATGATATCATCTTACTAATTTGTTGCCCCACACACCGTCGTCGAGTCGAGTAAACTCAGGTATTTAGCAATTATAGAAAACAGCGAACGACGAACAAGTAGAAGCGCCTCACACACAGATATTACATACAAATACTTATACGAATATATACTATAGAGATCGTAATAAGCAATTTCTGATTACAATCGCGCTGTCGTTACATGGCTGCTAAAGTGAATGTCCAAACATTATTGCTCGACGGCTTGTTGACTGTCTGTCTGGTTGTCTGAGAGGCTTTCATGATGCAGTTTTGTCATAATAATGAGCCAAAGTCAATTTGAGATCACTTAAGATCTCTGTATATATATATGCTCAACACTCGATCTGTTGGATAATACACACGTATCGACCCGTATTTGTCTGCGAAGTATTGCTTGTTTTCGTCTGTACATCCGCTAGACAATTGTTTTTCTTTCCGACGTTGGTTGTTGAAATTTGAATGTACTTTTCTTTTTTTTTTTTTTAATTAATTTCGATTAATTTATTTTTCATGTGGCCTGTCTATTTAAATAGTTTACTAAGCAGCAGCAAATAAATCAAGCTGGCCTAAACAAAACAGGCTGTATGTAATATAATTAAGTTGTAAATAAGATATTGCTTATTCTCGTGCTTTAGTTTGTAAACAGCATATTTGGAAACACTTAAGAGTTTTCCAAATAATGCCCATTTTCCAAAGAAAACTACTTATATATACGCAAGGTAAAGCAACATAGAAATGTGTATTATGTAGAAGTGAACAATTAAAATAAAGTAATTTAATACATCCGTAAATATACAAAAGATTTTTGAGCAAAGCTCTTTCAAAACAAAGATATTATATGTAGGTGTGTCACATTGAAGAGAATAATGGAAGTAAGGTAACTGAGAGGAAAAGAAATTTATATAATAGTATTGAAGTATTAGTTGAAATAAAAAACAACTGTTTCTATATTTTTCGTATAACTATTATAATTTATATTTTTAATCCAGTTATTTAAGATAAAGATTTCATTAATAGATTATAAACAGAAGAGAAAACACAGATGCTAGTTTTTCTAATTATATATATAGTAAACAAGATTTATTCATTTATACTATGTGTGTTGCATATATGTATTAAAAAACTAGAGAGTATACAAAAATCCGTTTCAGCGAAAATATATTTAGCTTCTAACTTTTTTAATTATAATTTCATAATGATGAGAATAAATATTTAATTGATTCGTAACAGCAACTAGAAATATAGAAAATTTCTTATATTATATTCTTCACAAAAAGGAAAATATTTAAAAATTTGTATACGTTCAGTGTAGTTGGAAATTCATAAAAAAATCTTTGCAAAAATAACGCCTTCCAGACTGGAATAAAATAATTATTTTTTACTGCAACAACGTGCATAGACAAGCATCTATATTAGCGATTCTGAATAAATTAAGTGAAGATAGAAATTAAATAGGTAAATCTATATAAATAAATTCATATATGTATGTGTATGTGTACATGTCTATGTTAAACTGAAAAAAGCTGTGTACTCATCTATCGAGCAATGCTTAGATGGCTACACAAACTAACGATAAATCATTTATGAAAGGTGGCTAAAGATGAGCTCACAATAAATCTACATATTTATGTAATGCATGCATTGCACATGCTTATCTATACATAGGTATAGATAGATACAAATGTACATGTATGTAACATACATACAGACATATGTACTGGCTTACTTATGGTTCAAGAGCACGGCTCATTTCAACGTAAACAGCAGCTGCTCAGCCGGCTCTCAGGCACTGACATCAATTGTCTCTCGATGACCTTCGCGTAAGTGCTTGATTGCAGGTGGCTTTCCGTCCGTCCGTCCGTCCGTCCGTCCGTCCGTCCGTTCGTCCGTCCGTTCGTCCGCCTGCTTGCCGGCGTGCCTCTCTATCTCTCTCATTGGCAATCAGAAATCATGACACGCCGTTTAGGAGACCAGTTTGATCAAAATGCTCAGTTAAGTTTTAAAGTAGCATTCGATCACATTGTACACAATTCAACCTTAACTTTGGCAATCATTAAGCTTATATGAATAGGGAAATTTACTTCTGTTCATTTCAAGAGCATAAGTACTTCTGGATAGGACGGAAGAGTATAGAGACTATCTTGCGAATCTAGGCAAAATAAAAAATAAAGATTCTGGCTTGAATTCTATGTACCTGAAGATAACATTAAAAATCTTGTTTTCTACGTAGACCCATTTAAAATATGATGTAACAAAACGAGGTTCATAAAAGAGCTATGCAACTTTCTGTAATTTGTTGTCTATTTTCTCACATATAATTATTATGTAATACTATCAATCTGTCGTCTCCAATACTATTTCAGGATATATAGACTTTAGAAAAGATTTATATATTTCTAAAAAAATCAATTGAACATTCAATATTTATATTGAAAAATGCAGAGCATTGCGCTGTCGCTTCAGCTGACTGAAGGACTCGCACTTTTTGCTTTGACTCACCTTTCTGTTAATTGTTAGAGACGTTGGGTTTGGTAGCGCTTTGATGGATGTGAGTCCGGCGGCGGCGGCGGCAGCTCCATGATTTCTCAGGGCCATTACATTGCCCAGGCTTAGATTAATGGAAGAGAGATGCTGCAGATCCTGAGGCATGCAATTCAATGGCTGCACCAGCGCACACGCGGGCGGCGGTGCTGGGCGCGGCACCGACACGGATACGGGCACCTGTACGGGCATTTGGACCGGCACTTGGACCGGCGGCGACTGCGGCATGCCTGTTGAGCCGGCTACGGTGGCAGCAGCCAACAGAGCCTGTTGTGCCGACAATGAAACGCCACCAAAGGCGGCGACAGCGTTGGCATGATTAGCTCCTGCAGCAGCCGCCGCTGCTGCTGCGGCCGAATAGTAAGCGCTCAGCGAAAGGGGCGGGAACATGGAGGACTGCAGCAGATGCGTCTGCGAGTGGCTGTGCGTCGGATGAGGCTGTCCTGCATAGCTGCTCGTCTGGCCAGCAGCATTAAGCAGCGGCTGATTGAAATTGTAGCCAGGCGCCAAGGGAAAATGGGTGCCGGCGCTTGGATGCAGCGCGGGTTGCTGATAGTTTGTGGGTGGGGCTGCTGCAGTATTCGGTGAATGCTGCTGCGGCTGTTGCTGGAGCAGATGCTGCTGCTGCTGCTGATGTTGCTGCTGTTGTTGTTGCTGCTGTTGCTGTTGCTGCTGCTGTGGCTGATGCAATTGCGGTTGTGCAGCGTACAGTGCACCTGGCGGCACCTTGTCTGCGAAGGGCGTCTGCATGGCCAGCAGCTTGTGATGATGCTGCTGAGCGGCCAAGCTCCAAGGCAAGTACCAGGCACACGAGGAAGATGTATTCTGCATACTGCGGCTTTTCTTTTATTTTTATTTAAATATTATTTTATTATATTTGCTTTTCTATATCACGCACAAGCTTTGCTTTAATTGCTATTGCTTATGGTCTTTTGATTTGCATAATAAATTACATAATTTCAATAGAAATCACCTTTTCCTTACTGCTTCGCTTCTCTGGCTGTTTTATCAAAATTCAGTTTATTTTCAAAATACGTGTTCATTGTTTACGTTCTGCTGCTTACAGGTGCATATGTGTAGTTGCTATAAAGCTGTGTTTTCTATGTGTATCTCGCTATATATATACTTGTTTATCTATCTACATATATATACATATATCTATCCTGCCACTTTCGACGCGTTTATTTGAAATTTGGAAGCTGAATTTACTTTGCGTTTACTTTTGTTTGGTTTATCTGTTCACAAGTCGCTGCGATTTCGTGCCTTGCACAATGGGATAAATATTATTAATATGGCTAAAAAATACAAATATTTACACCTATTTCAAATTCAATTTAGTTAAAAGTTGTCGTTTTTCGTTGTAAGGAATAAAGTTTATAAAAACGAATTCTGAGTTCATTATTGCGAGTCAATTAATCGAAACTAGTTTCATTATCATAGTCTGTAATGAGAAAAAAGAACCAGATTCACATGTCATGAATCATGATGCAGTCGATGCTAAATAATCACAGCCTGGAACTAGACTCTCAAAAGCCAATTTCCGATCAAGGCATTTACTTAAAGAACCGAATCAAAGAAACTTTTCTTATATGTCGCACACATGCATACATGCATACACACATGCAAAAGTGTGAACGGAATCAGAAGACTGTGCTGATTTGTAAATTTGTTGTTATTGTTAGCGACGCACTGTCAAAATGTACCCCAAAGCATTAACACAGACCCACACACACGCACACACACACACACACACACGACAAGCTCAACCACGAATGTGACCGGGTCCCACATACTATGTACATACATGCACACACACACTCACACACATCCAGACAAACTACCTGTCTTGAAGGCAAGACAAAAGTTGTGCACTTGTTTATCGTGCAATAAATGAAAATGGAATGGAACAATGGCTAGAAAAGCCACTAAATATAGCGTAATGGATTTTAAATGCACATTCGACATCTGACGGCTAGCTGATAGCTGATGGTTTTTGTTTTTTCCTTATTTTTTATTTTGGCTGATGGACGACTGGGTTGCCAGCCTTTCAGTCTTTCCGTCTTTCTGCCTGCCTGCCTGCCACATAGTGTAAATAGAAATTTTATGCTTGCGCGCACCCACTTCCACGTGCACAGTATATACATTGTACAAAGAGACGTTTAGGAAATATGAATATCATTGAATGTTGGGTATATCAATAGAATCGAATTAGTGTACACAAGGTGGTACACGCGAAGTAAGTGGAACACGGCTCGAAATAAATGAACTGTAACAGAAATATTTAACAGATTGTTACAACAATATGTAGTAGTAGTATATAATTTATTTGCTCGTATTTATAGGAGTACAAATTAAAGCAAAACTTCTCAATATAATAATTTGTTTCAAACATTCTTTTTAACACTATCAGTAAAATAATTTAATAGATAATATTAATTTACAATGCAACTATTTGCTTTAGTTTACGCAAATCAAAAATGTAATAGTCTCTTTGATTTATTATTTCTTTTCTATAATTATTATTTTATTTTTCAATCCCTTACACTGATATATTTACAAATTAACAAGGAAGCATACTTTTTTCATATGCATGTTTTTTATAGTTTCGAAAAAGTGGAATTTTCAATTAAAATTATATCGCTCATGACACATAAAATGCGGTGTTGCTTATCGCTCAATCGTTAGTTAATATGATGGCGCCCCACTCTATACGCACTCCTTTGGAACCACCCTTGCCACCCACCCATTCGCTCGGCCCGGGGCGAGCAGCTGTTGCTATCTATTCCTCAAGTGTGCGACGGCTGTGAATTTATTTACTAATGTATTTTATATTTTTTTCGGGGCTTTGTGCTAAAATAAGTCTGATGTATTACTAGGTTTGCCCCACACACACACATACTTACGAGCACACACACACATATACATACTAGCTCACACATAGAAATGGCCGCAAATTATTTAAAATTTGTTTCATTTTTCGGCTCTACAGTATGTACTATGTACGAGCATGTTTATGTGTGCTAATTTTTGTTATTTTCTTGCTTTTTTTTTTTTTTTTATGTGTGATCTTGGTATTTTAGTGTTGTTTGATCATACAATGACAAGATGATGGCTGTTTTTCGAGTATCTTGCTTAGATATTCACGAACTTATATAATAAACAAAGGATTACCCAATAAAAATGTCAAATGGATCGCATAACCTGCTCATAGCATATAAAACAGATACGAATTCAAAACCAAATATACCGCGCGCATTTAGAATTCCTCGAAAGAACGGACTGCTTCCGAAATTCAAAATATAAATATATTTCAATTGTCTTTTGAAAATATTTATTCTCTATATATAAAGCTATGCACATATACATACATATATATTTGTTGTCCTGAATAACCAAACACGCCAAGTGAAGATTAGGTAACTGCATGTGCGGCTCTTCTCTTGACGTTTGATGATGATTAAAGGCCATGCGTTGCGTAGGGCCTGACTACTGAAATTACTTATGATATATATATACTATGCCATACTCTACCATATATGTATATGTGTATATATTTCAAACGTCACCTCTCTAACTAAGAAGACATGCCAACCAACAGAAATATTTTGAATAGAAAATATACAATTTTTCAGAAACAAAAACTATTTGCGTACGTAAAAATGGACGATGTTAGAGACTACGGCAATGGCGCATATTTTTGGTACAGAGCCATGCACGGGCACACACACACACACATACTAGCAAAGGAAAATATTCTAAAAACGTTGTCCTCAAATAGCTTTGCTCATACACACTCCTTCTATTTAGTCGCTTGTCAAATGTCTAAACATGCTTATTATAATTATAATGAGAGCTTTGTATGTAGATCGTTGCAAAGGCATATAAGATCAGAAATCAGATTGAATTCATAATTCCTACAGAACAGTCACTCAGATAATAATAAAAGCTGTTACTAAAACTAATTTATTTGTACTACTAACTAACAAGTAATCAGCAAAAAGATTAATTTGCTACCATAAGTCGAGGATATTCAAAAATGTTTGAAAATTTAGTAGATCAACTAATCATTCATTGCTGTAGGCTTTGCAGTACGTTTACAATGATTAACACTCATAATGTGGATTGTTTTTATGTGCACGTTCATAAACGCCTTTATTACATTATTATCATAGGGCTTTTGAAATCACATCACTTTATGTTAAGTTGCATTACTTTGATTATCTGATAACGAATGTGACCTGGCGCCGGAGTTGTAGTGATTACCACGCAAAAAAACTAAAACGGAACGGGTTTTATTCACATCAATATATGTATACTGATATATACACGTATATAATGATATATATTCAAGTTGCGCGACACGCCCGCACACTGAGCCCCCGTTTAATAGGTACCCAGATTGTAAGCCATCAATGTCGTTGTTTAGGTGTACGAGCGTCGGCGTTTTTCAATAATATCGTCGCACACACGTTTTAATATCTTAAGAGCGGATGGCAAACACGCGACAACCTCTGCACTGGCTGAAAGCAAGCGGCCGACTGATTGGAGCAGCCCCAATCGTGGACTGTAAACAGAGCGCCCGCCTGCCGATTTGTTTCTGTGGGTTGCACTACTTTTAAATTTAAATTGCGCGGGCTCTGTTAAACTTAACATTATGTTATCTTAGCTAGAGAAGGAGAGAGAGAGATAGATAGATATAGGAGAAAGAGAGAGAGAGAGAGAGAGAGTGAAGCAGGCTCTGGCTCTCTTCGAAATTGTATGCTAACAGCTAATTAATTAAGTTGTTATTTACACAACAATAAAACATATGCTGATGATGTTTGCTTCTTGTTTAAATTTAATTAATATATTTTGTAATGGACAGAAAAGATTTTGAAGAAAGGATTAAGGGAGAAAATTTGTTATTATTTGCGCACATACTATCTATTATCTACTATTTATTATATATTATAAATTATAAATTATATATTATATATTATATATTATATATTATATATTATATATTATATATTATATATTATATATTATATATTATATATTATATATTATACACTATATTATATAGTATACATTAACATTTAAATAACAAAAATTAACATCAGACGAAAATTATTCTAAGCCATTAATTTAGCATATTCCAATTTGATACATTAAAATAATAATTACCAAAAAATAAGATGTTAGTTATATTGAGTTTCCTTCAATCGGAATTCCTCCCCAACTTGAATGCATTAAAATAAATTCCCAGCCAAATAACATAAATAAGAATCTTCTTGACATATTTTAACACATAATATATATAAAAAAGATAATATATAATAATAATAAAAAGAAAAGAAAAAAAAACAGATACACGTGCTGTTATGTGACTACCTATTGACTCATTATAAATACATACAGATATAGGTATATAACTATGTATATATGCTTGAGGGACACATACATATCAATGTTGAATTTTGATGAAACTTTCATATTGTTACGTGAGACAAAAGAAAATTTTTTTTGGCTTGGGCCCAAAAAAAAAAATAAATTCCTCTTGATTTAGTTGCACAGGGCAAAGTCATTTACGTGCGGGATATTCTACGAGATGTTTAAAAATTCTTACTACATAAACAAATAGATATGTACAATGTATATGGTGGATATATTATATAAATATACTTTGCGGTAGACAGATATTTCTATAAATTAGGATTTTCTATGCTCATTTAATGTCGCTCTACCGTGACGGAAGATCTTTGCATGAATGCTATATAGAACATATTTAATATAGTATTGCAATTTTTTGTTGTTTTATTAAATAATAAAATTGTTTATAATATATTCTAAAGCTAAAGCTAATGCTAAAGCTATTTATACTGGGAACCCATTGGAAAGGGACCAAACGTGAAAGGGTGCTGACCTCATAAAGCATTCACAAAACAATCTACCTTATGGGTACATATCTCATATTATGGAAACTTCATTGAATTGCCTTTTAATTTTAAAACATACTACAAATTCTTTTTAAGTTTTTATATTTTCTTGTGCGTATCCTTCACATCATTAAACTGCCGTTAAATATACATATAAGCCATATGTTTACTGAAAGATTCCGATTATTTACCATAAAAAATACAAATTTATTCAACAAATTCATTTTATCTTATATATGATATTTACTATTTTATGTATTACATATATGTAATATTTTAATACGTGAATGATTTCTCATAAAATATATTATATACAATTTTGTTCACTTATTATTATCGTTTTTTATTAAATATTTACTTCAGATTGCGAAATGGAATATATCGTAAAATCCAAATATTTTCTTAGTACAAAGTGAATAATATGAACAAATTAACTGTTTTAATTCAATTATAATATTTTTTACCAAATCGATGTTTGTCGAGCAAATAGCTGTGCATGTCTAGCTCACTTCTTAGCTTGTTTTATTTAATTTTTTGCTTCTATAGCGAGGCTCAGTTCAGCATACAAGTTAGGGTTATATTGCTCTACATTCATGCATAGTAATTATATTGCAATTATTTTTATTGTCGTTTCGGAACTGGTCGGAGGGTCAGAGTGGGTTGACCTTCGTTAAGGTTGACATTGAAATCTTTGTTAAAATTTCTTTTGATTAAACAGGTTAAAGGTGCGCATAAAGCTCATTTCTTGTTTACCTCCATTCATTGTTGTGGTTTAGCAAGTTTTCCAGTTTTTAACTATAAGAAAACGATTTACGCTTTGCGTTTAACGATTCACGTTTGGCATTTTTTTGCTCATAACTTTGGAATATTCATTTTCGCGATGCTCTGATGTAATCGAAACAAGAGGAGGGGTATATGTCCACCTAGATTGTGGCCGAAAATATAAAACTATCGTGTATATATGGAGTAAAAAAGCCTAACTAGGAGCGCGACCATTGCATGTCCGACTGCGTGACTAGTTTAACACACCTGCACTCTCCAAAAAACAGTTCCCCTCTCGCTCTCTTGGTGGCTCTCTGTCTCTTTTTCTCTCTGTCCTAGTGTTAAAAGAACGTTCTCCTTGAAAAGCACTCGGTCACGAAACAAACTACATACAACATCCTTCTGTAAACCCACAACTCAGGCTAAGGCGACCAAAAAAAAGGCTTGCCCCTTATTTAGGGCAACATTTAATGGCCACTGGCCATAAGGCTCTTGGTCTTGGCTAACCAGAAGGGTGGGGGTATGCGTGCGTGTGTGTGTGTGGGGGTGTGCGTGTATATGAGAGTAAAAGTTGGCATTTGCTGCTGCCGACGAAGAAAGTGATTAAATCAGCACGATATTTTGTAGGTGTGCGCACTCACCGATTACATTTTTTTATTCCAAGTGTATGTGTGTTTGTGTGTTAGATTTATGTATGTATGTAGTGGAAATTGACTTTTCGCCTGGACAGAAAGCTAGAAATGACGACATCACGCTTCCTCATCAAACGAAAAAAAAAACTATATAAACTCTAAAACCTACCCAGCTTTTCTACTGCGTGTTTACAAACAATATTGTGTGCGGGGGCCTATATACAAATGTATAAATATATAAATATATATATATATATATATATATATAGAAATATGTATGTTTATTATAAAAAAATGATATATGTTCGTTCATATGCCTAGAATAAGGTGTGTTTCGCAAAATTTGCATGCATACTCAGAGCAGCTAATTAAATACATAAACATATTAAATATGTCTAATAAAGTTTTTAAATTTTCCAAAATATTTTAATATGTTAATTCTATTATTCAGAAAGATATTTATTATTTGTAAGTATTTATGCTTTATTTAATTTTAGTTATTTTAGTTAGCCTCGTCGTTATCACAATTAAACGAATTACAGAATTGATATACCCCACAAACATTGTTTGTTTACAAAGTGCTCAAATTGAACTGAATGAACAAATGAACCAAATTGCGCTGGTTCGATTAGTCAAATGGCGCGTGCAACAAAAATAATCGAACTAGTTAGGTCGCGCTCGTTTGTTGTGCATTTTATAAGAGAAAAATTATATTTTACGGACTTCATGAAGTATTTGCGTTACGCTGATAATACATTTCGCCTGGCAAGTGATCAATTCATAGTGTTTCATAAATACCCTTACATCACTTCAGTTCATGCATTCGTTTTGCTAGCGCACACGTGTTGATGGTTTTGTTTTTGTTTTCAGTTCATTAATTTGTTCATTTCGAGGCGCTTGTTAAACGCACAACACAAAGTTAAGAAATCAAAAAACACATTTTTGTGTTGGCAAATTATGACATTGCCCAAGACTCTGCGCCATGTGCAAACCCAGCACGGCGATGCCTCTGTGGATGTGGAAAACATTTTTCTGTTTAGCGCCAACTTACACACTGCCGGCGTTGCTTCTACGAATGAAGCTGAATTAGGCGCTGAATCAGACGCTGAATCTGTTACCCCTATTGCTATCAAGTCTCAGGAGATCAAATCTACCGATGGTGTGTGGACCTACGAGGCGAGTGAAGATTGCGGCAGCCAAGTAAGCGCAAATTATTTTATTTCTTTTAGTTAGTTTTCGGTTTTATAATTATAGTTATTAACATTGGAAACTCGGTAATTTTTGGGATAGGCCAATCAATTGATATATGCTTCCATTTCCATTCATTTGATCGAAATCTAACTTTATTTACTTTATAGATTATATATTATAATAAAGTAAATTGCGCTAAGAAATACTTTTTGTTTTTAAATCCACATATCGCAAAATCTGAATATTATTATATAGTTATGGTAGGGGAAATACCTTATAAAGATTTTTTTTTTTGTATTTTTTTTCTTATGTATGGTCCCGATATAGAAAAATACAGTATTCAGGGACTTTAAGAATTCGGATACTTCTGAATGCAATTATTTTATTAATCTAGTTTTTAAAAATATGTTATTATACAGTCAAGTCCACGTACTTGTCAGCCTTAAAGTTACATCAAGTTAACTTAAGTTTTGAAGAAGCTCATAATTAGGCCGCTATGTCATGATATACTTCACTTTATTTGAAGTGGAACTGGGTAGGACGGTTAAGCATAGTAAATGCATACAGCTTCAGAGACAAGCGACAAGTAACATCAGAGCCAGCTCGAGGGTCATTGTCAATGTAGAGAGAAGGAAATACTAATTACAACGGCGCCCTTTTGTAATGGTCTCTATTATAATGCTATTTCAATGCATCTCTATGTTTGTATGATGTACTTCAAAGCTCAATCGCGGCGGCCCATTCATCTATACACACATTGTTCACTGACATTCCGTATTCCTACTGGCATATTTATGTGCATTCTAGCGCGGATTTAAATTTGTAAAATGGTCACAAAGCCCATCAATCCGTTCTGAATAACTTATGGCCGTGGGAGGCTTTTGAAGCGGTTGGCACATTCCAGACCGCTTTCTATCAATAATAATCACGTGTAGCTTCGCACTGGCACAGGACAGCATTATCCCTGCCGAGGGCCGCTTATTATGTGGCTTATGCTAACCTCCACTAAATAATCCCCGTACACTTGGCTTTGTCTTAACCGCAGCAAACA